CTTTTACGCAAACAAATGGTTCGTCCACCCACTTTAGCCCACAAGACGATCTGCCTATTGTGGTAAGAGAAAAATTAGCACAATTGCCACAGGTGGAGCGGCAATTGAAGCAAGCGCCGCTTTTGCGCACAAACGGACATTTTATGCAATCTAAGCAGCCGCATAACGGTCACTATGCCGCGTACGAAAGCATACAAGTGCTGACTACACCACGCTCTACAAATACCGTTGGTACAACGCAACAACATGCTATAAAATATTTTCGTTAGTGCCCTTAGATTTGTATTAAACGCGCGCTCTTTGAATTTTCGAAACTGTGAGTTGAATTTTCGAACGAGCAGCTTCTTATTTCAAAAAAAAAAAAATATTTTATTTGTAAATTGTTTTACAAACGAAAATTATTTTTTATTAAAACGTTATTTCAATTGTTCATACTTGAATGCAATAAATATATGTATATTTAGTATATATGAATTGAATTAAAGCCGAAATATATAAAATGTACATTTGTGCTTTTCTGTGCGTTACACAATAAAGTCCAATTGTTTTTGCTGCGTACAAGAAAAAAAGCATATTAACTGAGGCATTTGTCGGAAAAACGCGTGTGCGCCGTTGAGTTATTTTTTAAATGGTTCAAATTAGTGATAAGTAAGTACAGACGGGTGTATCTTTACTGCTTTTATCTGCTTTGACAATGCTGAGTTTAGCAGATACACATACGTACATACATCTATCGTTTAAGCAGTATATATAAAACTAGACTATTGTTTATTCATAGTTTAAGTTTATTAGAAGTAATTATTTTACAATTCTTTCTAAATTTGGATATGAGTATGCCGACATACATGCATATATGTATATTTCATAATTAGTTGCGCATATTTGCTTAATGTATATATTCATTTTATGTCCATATTATTTAACCTGTTAAATTAGATTTAGCAAGTTTTAACCATATTCACTTAAATTAGTAATCCTTATGGTCTTAAACGCTAATGAAATAAAATTGCACACATTTTTGAAACATAAACGTTTTGCATTATTTATTTAACTGGAATATTTTTTAAAAATAATATATTGGACAGTATAATACGCCAATCAATTGTATTGTTTGTATATATATTTGTTTTTTCTTATATTTTATATTTCTTACTTTATTTTTTTTAAGTTTTTAAATTTTTTTTTTAATTTTTGTAAATATATTTTTTATTTTTATTTATTAAATTTTATTTTTTTACTTTTTTTTATTTTTTATTTTTTTTTAATTTTTATTTCTTTTTATTTTTTATTTATTTTTTCTTATACATTTTAAATTTTTATACTCTTGCAACATGTTGCTACAGCGTATAGTGGTTTTGTACACCTAACGGTTGTTTGTATCATTTAACTTGTATATGAATGATCAGAATGACGAGACGAGTTGAAATCCAGGTAAGTGTCTGTCCGTCCGTCTGTCTGTCCGTGCAAGCTGTAACTTGAGTAAAAATGAAGATATATTGATGAAACTTGGTACACATGTCCATTGGCAAGTAAGGACGAGTTCGCAGATGGGAGTAATCGCACTACTGCCACGCCCACAAAACAACGTTATTTGAAAACCTCTAAAATGCCATAACTAAGCACTAAATTAAGATATAAAACTGTAATTCGGTACAGGGGACTGCAGTAGCAAGGGGCACCTGTGTGCCACAAATTTTGAAAACATGGGCGTGACCCCGCCCTCTAATAGGTATAATGTACATATCTGCTAAACCACTAAAGCTACAATAACCATATTCGCTTAGGACAAATCTTTTATGATCCCTTACCGACAGTGCGATGAAATCGGATTATTAACCTGCCCTCTCCCTATATAACGGTTTTGTTAAAAGCTACTAAAGGCGCGATAAATCAATAACTAAATGTTTCAGAGACATTCAATTTTGCACTTGAGATGGTATAAAATGGCTTTATAGGAGTCGGTGTTAAATTTGGACCATGGTCGTGGCCATCGCTCACATTTTGGTGAAATCATAACCGAACCTACTCAACCAATTTCAATCAAATTTGGTACATAAGATTATTTTGACATTCCCATGTAACAGTGCGAAAATGCGCGAAATTATAAAGTAACCACGCCTATTCCCCACATAACACAACTTGATTGTAATCCATTCACGTTTCAACAATGAAGTTGAACACTTTCGCCACATTTTTTAATATTGCCAACACCTGTAGGTATTTAGCTGACTTTGATCCTTGCAAGTTGCAAAAGTATAAAATGTTCGGCTACACCCGAACTTAGGCTTTCCTTACTTATTTTATATTGTTCTTTTTTATTTTCTTTTATATTTAAAATTTTTTTATTGTTAATTTTATATTTCTAATTTTTAATTTTTTCTTTTTTTCTTTTATACTTAAATTTTTTTTTATTGTTAGTTTTATATTTCTAATTTTTAATTTTTTATTTTTAATTTTTTATTTTTTTCTTTTATATTTTTATTTTTTATTTGATTTCTTTCTTTATAAATGTAATTAAATAAAAAAGATTTATTGATATTTTTATAAACAAATAGAACCAAATATAAATTTTTGTTTATCGTATTTACATTTAATTTATTTAAATAAAATTTGTCTTTTCGAAAAAAAATCTTTATTGAAGTTTTGATTGTGTGAAAAAATATTGACAATGCAGTTATTTATTTTTTTTGCTTATTTATATTTACATTCGAAATAATTTAGTTGCTAAAACATATTTACATAAATGATAATTGATTTTTAGGTTAAATTTTCCAATAATATTAATAAAATAATTTTAACTTTTAAGATTCAGCATTATACCATATCATATATTGTAACTATGTCAAGTTATTAATTTTGTTTTTACAAAAATTATTATTATTTCCTTTTATTATTAAAATTATTATTAACTTATTTATTTTATCAATTATTTTCATTAAATTCACTAAATTAAATTTTTTTTATTATTTTTTCTTTAACATACTTAATACTATTATATTTTCGGTCTTACTTAAATTTTTTTTTATTTGAATATTCGTTGGAAAATTTTCATCGAAATCGGTACGTTTTCTAAATAAATAGTAAAATTGGCAGTGTTTCTCTGGCAGTACATTATTTTAGCAAATACTTACTAAAACTATACTGCATACTTACAGAGATATGCAATATGTGCGCGTTCAAGTATTTCAACTATAAAAACACACACTTATTCCAAACAAAAATTCATTTGTAAAAAAATCGTAGTCCGATATACATTTGAGCATCAAGCATAAATTGAGTTGTTTTTGTTAAGCGTTTAATTATTTATTTTTGTTTATGTGAGTGTGTTGATATACAGAGTATAAATCAATTGACACATGCATACATATAAACGAAACACATAAGCATTTCCTTTGTGCGCCTAAAAATATGCTACATTAAAAAAACTATATTCTCCAGGGCGTATGATGAACGAATGTTAGTTACACAAAACTTAATCGAAAGCCGTAGCAAGAACGATGTAGCGTAGTTACTCGTTTAAAGATTAGCTAAAGCGATGCGCTTGAATCTGTAGCCACAAGGAACAACTGTCAACGTGCAGTTCAGACATAACTCAAAATTAAGATGGATTGTTATTTGTTGTTGCCTTAGAAGTATGTAAAATCTTTGGCAAATTATGCGGGCAATTAGTATAATGCAACAGTAAAATTCATTAATTAGCAGCCGAAAAAATTTAATAATGGTACAAAAAGTTCTCATCTTCAGTAACTGCGAAAAATCGTAGTTCACACGACTTTGAAGAATGCCACGAAAGCACTTAAAAAAAATGTTGATCGGTTTCATAGCAATCATTATTAACTATGCAATATATTAACTTTGTCGCAAAGTTTGTAATATCCAGAAGTAAAAGTGGGATATATAAATAATCAAGCGTGATGAGATGAGTCGATTTAGTTATGTCTGTCTGCAAAATTTTGGTTAAATTAAAGTTTTCAAAACGCCGGCCTTTTGTTTTGCTTTTTGTTTTAATTTTTCCACTGTAGTGCATGGTACGGAGAATGTCTTTTAGTAGAGAGTTTTTTTTAAGAAAGCCGGCTAAATGCTAAAAAGAAAGGTTCTTCTTCGCAGCAGTGATGCAGTAAAGAAGCTTTATTTTTTAGCAACGTCGAAGTTCGCATGTAACGCGAAGATATTTAACATTTTTCTTCAAAAATTTTACTGTGTATGCTTAATTGGTTACACGGGTTTTGACGAGCAACGAACGCCTTGTTTTCAATAGTTTTTTTTCATATATAAAAAATTAAATATTTTATTCAAACTTTTAATTATTCTGAAGATACATATTTGATAAAGATTTTGTGAAATTTTCAAAGGAAAATATGCAAAACTCGGTCATTACGATTCATTTCAGCAGATCCTGTTGGAAAAGGTGTGAAAAAAAACGGAAATTTCGGTGAAAATTTCTCGACGTTTTTGTTTTAAATAATTGTAATTGAAAGAAGATAATCGTAATTGAATTTAAGATCTTGTAAAGCATATTTTAAAGACCTGTGTAAAATTTCATTAAGATCGGTTGAGTAGTTTGCGATGAATCTTGACAACCGACTTTAAAAATACAGTTTCGCGAAAAAACGCGTTTAAAGTTTTAAGTGACTATATAGCTGACCTCGTGCGCGCAACTTTACAAAGCTGTAACTCCAAAACTATTACTGTTATCAACTTGAGAATTTAGAACAATATTCTAGAGATATTATAGAATTAAATTAGCCATTAAACATTTTTTTTGTGTTTTGAAGCCGTGAAACCATGTACGCTCTTAAAATATGTATAAATATACGCTAAAAATTTAAAACAGTTGATAACGTAGTGGTTTTTTCTGGTATCTCCTAAGAATCGGCTTTTTTAGGCTCCCACACTTTCCTGTGTATCCTTTAAATTTTGAATAGTTCAACACGCTGCATAACTAATATATACAATGTGCACATTCGCACACTACGAGTAAAACACGATTTATTTACATATTCTCTTCTGCATGTGCTCTCGTGCTTGTTTTTATTATGTTGGCATACTTAACTTCATATTTATTATTTGTTTGCATTGTTTACCTGTCAAATATTGCTTCAGTTTCCAATAAAAGTAATAATTCGTATGTAAGCATAAATAGTCATTGCATGAATTTTCATTTACTTAAATTTTTTATAGTATTTTAAATATACTACTACATGTGTATGTATGTATTTATATATACAAAGTATTTTATATTTACTTTACTACACTTAAACGTAATTTAGTGCTATTTTGCTAGTTTTAACTAATCGTTGATTTGATATGCTAATTTGCTTACAATGCGCATTTTGCCAACTTATATACACATACATATTATATATTATATATAGTTTGTGCATAAACTACACAAGCGCTGTGATTTACTAACTTATATTTGCAGTTTATAAGCGCACCTTTGCTTTATGCTTGCCATACACACATACATACATACATTCATATGCACATATACGTGGCTACAAAAATTATATAAGTTTACTTCTCAATACACACACACATATATGCAGTTATATATATATGTATATGCGTGTGTATGCATGTGCTGAAAGCAATTCATTACAAATTGAATGCAATTTAATATTTACTTGTTGATTTTGCAAATTTTCAAATACAACTTTTGACGCAAACTTTTATTTGTTTTTGTTTTTAGCTTTCTTATTTTACATGCAAATTCAGAAGAATTCATTTTGAGCATTAAACTATCGATTGTGCATTGCCCTGGTGTGTGTATGTTTGTACGTTTGTATGCTGGATGTGCATGTGTGTGTGTAACAGTTTGTGTGTATGTGTTGCTGTTAATTGATGTGTTTGTCAATTGCAGTACATTTTCCATTTTATTTGCCAATATGGGTAGTTAGCGTGTACGTTTTTGAACTTATAACAATAAGCCAGTACCAAAAGCATTTAAAACAAGCCTGCATCACATTAATATGTATTACAAAAATATGCTTGCATCTAATATACTTGTAGGTATGTTTGTAATAATTGTAGAATTGTTTTAACGTTAAAGCGCAAATTTAATGTTCAAAGTCAGCAGCGCAGCATTAGAATATATTTTCGTAATACTTTTTAATTTCTGCATATTCACAAATAACTGTAAAATTTTATTTCGAAAAAAATTTGCTTTTAGTAATTCATTTTAATTTCTGCATATGCATAAATAACTGTAAAATTTTATTTCGAAAAAAATTAATTTTCGTCTCGTTAGCTACAATTGGACGGCTTTCTCAATAGTTCGATTTTGGTCGGGTTGTGGTTTTGAGTTGGCACGGTTTATACATGTGTTGTTTTTGGCTACGAATTTCGTATGTTTTGGTTTACCGAATTTGTGCATGAAAAATGTGGTTTTTTGAAACTTTCTTAAAAATTTAGTGCATAAAAAATGTGGTTATTTTGAAAATTTACAAAAAAAAAAATACAAACATAAATCAAAAACAAAACATCTACGCTTACAAATTTATTTTTGAAATGTAGTTGTAAGTTATATTATTATATTTATTGCTGAATTAAGCAAGCAAAACAGTATATAGTTATGCAATATATACATACATATTTAAAAAAAAAAACTAAAAACTAAATAAAACTAAACTAAAGTCGTTTTAAAGGTACTTGGGCAACAACTTCGAAAATTCGGTGCAAAATGCACTAACTTTTAATTGTTGTTGTTGCAGCAGGAATGCTAAAGTAATAAAATCAAACTGATATGTCTGGTAACTCTTGGTGTTCTTGTGTATTTTTTACACAAATAATTTCAATTAAATTAAATCATAAATTTATAAATTAATAAATTTATAAATTAATAAATTTATAAATAACTTAATATAACCTCAATTAAGTGAACACATGAAATTAATCAAAACTTATAAAGATAAAGTTAAAAAAAACACTAATAAATTTTAAATTGTGAAAAAAGTTTAAAGAAAAAATAAATACTTTTATTTATAACGATATGAAATTCCATAAGTGGGTTTGGACAGAAAACATTTTCGTTTGAACAATAGAGCGTTTTTCTGATGTTTAGTCAAAATTAAGTGAAAAAATTTATATTTTAAATAAAAAAAATTATAGTGTGTTGCGAATATAAAAAGGTTAATTTTATATAAATTTTGTGAAGGAATAAAAATTTTTGTAAAACATATAAGCAAAAATAAACAAAAACTTGGTTATTTGAATTTTTCATATAAATTTTGAGCTTATGTGAAAAAGTGTTAACACGAAAGTTCTAGAACGTTTTATTACCTACAACTTTGCTACTCGTTGTATTGCCGTACATTTAGAAAATAACCGTTTTTAACACTTAGAAATAGAATTAAAATATGTTAAAAATATTAATAAAATATATAGGAAGCTACAAAAGTTAACGAAATTAAATAAAGATTTTAAAAGTAAACATATACCCTACTATAGTAGGCAGCTCTCACGAAATGTAATTTTGGAAAAATACGTACTAAATATTTATAAATATACACATTTATAAAAATTTTCAAATTTTAAAAATAATAATGAAATTTTATTTGTTTATAAAAAATTATTACAAAACGAAAAAATTAATTAAATGTTAACTCAAAAATTTCACGCGCAATATTTAAACAAAACCAAGTTAAATATAAGTATTTATTATTATTATTTAGAAAGTTTATGTTTGTGATGTGTTTGAAAGTTAATGCGCACAGTTGCTTACTTCAATTTAAGTAAATTCACAAAAACTTCACAAAAAAATCCAGTTTATAGTAGTGCTGTTACTGCGCGCATTGCCTTGCTAATATTAATTTGTTGTATGTATGCGCTATATAATACATTTTCTCCAATAAATTTCAGTATTTATTTTCTTAATATGCCATTATTTAGATTATTCATTGTTATATGTTGTTTATATCAGTTCTTTTGCTTTATTTTTCTAAGTGTACGTGTTGCATGTCTGTGTGCGTGTGTGTAGTTCTGTGGGTTGATTATCTCTTCACTGCTTTGTTCGCTCACTTCTCTTTAAGCTCAAAATGAATCTTCTGAAATATGTCCTAGAAACGATCCTTGGACGTAGCGCTATACTCGAGCTCATTGAGATTTTGAATTTCTTGTAGTTCTTGGAATTTTTCATGATCTCTAATATGCGCATAGTTGGCTGCCAGGCACATGAGATAGTGCACCAGACTAAGTATAACGAGTAGAGCAGCTAATGTAGCGAGTATAAACATGACTTCGGCATTCTCGACGCCATCCTTGCAGAAGGTTTTAATCTCATATTTATCGCAGATTTTCATATCCTCCTGTTTTGTGTTTGGCGGGAACATGAAATCTGGAAGTAGAAAGGAACAAAGCAGTATGTTTGTTAATTATAGAAATTAACAATTATTTGCAAAATAAGTTAATAAGCATGTGACCATTTTGCATTAATCTTTTGTATTGGCCTGCTTAAAGCAGGTGGTTAAAGACTAAATTTGTAAAGATATTTCAAAAACTCACAGCTGATTGAATGGAGAGTTATCTTTGAGACTTATGTAATATGCAGCATATTGAAATTTAGCAACCCTTTTAGGGTAAGTTTTTGTAGCTGACACCAATTTGAAGCTGGATTAGAATGTGCATATACTTAAGGCCCATTCACATACAACTTTTCTCGCTTTGCGTGCCAATTCATACTTAAACAACGAAGAAAACAAAGGGTATGCTACATGAACGCTTTGCTTTCAGTGTTTCTCTCTAAAAAAAAATGAAGACGGTTTCTTGGCAAAGGGTAAAAAGATGAAGATCAAAAACTTTTTATGTGAAGCTACTCATACAAAAGCATACATCGAAATTTTCTGTCAAAACAAATTACTGACGCAAAGCGAATTGTAAAGTTCTATGTGAATTGGTCATTACAGTTCGACAATCAAAATCAAAAATAATTGATGAAAAATATTGAAAAAATATTATAAAAGTATATAGTATATTAAAACGTTTTTGGGCCGATTTATATATTTTGAAGTGCTTTTTGAGGTTAGAAAAGATTTAAAAAAATATTTTGTTATATATTTTTTTTTTTGTACAAACTTACCGATCAAAATCAAATTCTTGTATTGAATCAATATTGAGTTCTTAAGCGGTTAGGGGTAGTCAGAATTTTCAAATAAATAATTTTTTTTTTGCATTTTTGTTAAAGGTAATATTTTGAAAATATTCTCTGTTGATCCGATAGTTACTTTTTGAGTTATTCGACAAATAACAAAGAGCGCTCGGGCACTTCAAAGCGCTCGGGAGCTCTAGTGTGAAACTTTAAATGCGTTTTTCTCAAAACTATGTTTTTTGAACAGGTGACAACTGTAACTCGAAAATCGCTCAGTAGATTTTAATGAAATTTATACAGCTTTGAGAATACATAATAAACTCGAGCCTGATCGAATGATTTTTTAAGATCAATTAACTGTTGATTTTTTACCAAAAATCTAGATAAAAATTTCCTCAGGCCGCCATTTAGTTAGTTTTTGAAAAAAAAGCTCCGCTCAGGCCCAGGATTATCTATTTATAAAACTAATTTTTTTCATCCGATTGATTTTAGATGAATTTCCAAGGATTTTTAATTGTCACCGCAAGGACCTTTTTTTAGAACTGAGTCAACACAGACACCTATAACTTTTGATATAAAATTTTTGTTTTTTGAAAGTTTCGTGACTTCAAGTCAAAACATTTTATAATAATGCCATATTACTACTTTTGTAAAATAACATGACTTAATAGCAAAAAAAATTAATGAAAATTCTCATTTTTTCGTGCCTCTGACTAACCCTAACCCCTTAAACTGATGTCAGACAGCAGAAAATTAACACAGAAATTTGGCATTATGTTTCCGAAGTCAAGCGCAAAAATCATAATTTATTATATTTGCAGTGATACTTACGAAATTGTGTTAAATCGATGCAGCTGAGGGAACGCTCCACACTTGAGCACATATTCCAGAACATGGTATAGATGAAGGTGACTATGACCAAGAAGCATAGAATCAATATCCAAATGAAGTTCAACAGATATGTGACGCCCATGAACTGTAAAGAAAATAAAGCGCAAAAATGATGACAATTTTCTTCGACCGTAAAGACAGCAAAAGGAGTAAATTTTCACAAAACAAAAAAATATTAATAATAATAAAATAATAAAAAATCGCGCGCTATTGCCAGCACATATAAGCGTAAATAATTGCAATTAATTTTGCCATTTTGTCTCACTTTACAACTACAATATATACACAAACAAATTGCGAATGGAAAAAATGAGCAGACAACATTCAATTGCAGTCTTCTTTTGTCTTTGATCAACGCTTAATTAAGTTTTGTAACTTTTCGCGGGTGAAATGCGTTTTTAATTGTCAGTAAGTAGTCAATGCTGCCGACGTCGGAATTTTTATATAAATAAGCAATAGCTGGTAGTTCGCTAGTCAGTTCATTGTAACTGAAGCTTTACTTACTCTATTATTTGCTGTTAGTTCGTGTGCTTTGTTGTGTTTGTATTAGACACTGTCGTTGCAGTGAAAATGTCGCATTATCTCAATATTTATTCTGTGCTTTTTTTTTGTTTTTTTTTGGTTGTCTATTGGCGTTGAGCCACGAACTTCACTTCTTCCTACCAGCCAAATCAGTTACGCGACTCATTTGTAAAACATTGTCTGGTGCTTTCTTCCAACGCTTGGTTAGTTGACTGGCAAACATTTTTTTTTTCAAATTATTTTTCCCTGATTTGGTTTTGTTGTAGTTTTTGTTTTAGTTTTTGTTTTAGTTTCTGCATTTCACTTACCACTGCGCACGAGATGCGCCCACCCACTCGTGAACGCCACGCGCGATAGACCTTGTATCGTGTCGCTCCAGTTGCGAGGAAACCAACGAAGAGTATCATGAAGCCAAGCGCCGCCATTCCCGCAGCAATTATGACGAAAATCATTTGAATCGCTTCAATCCTGTAAAATGAAATGAATGCGCAATTAGAGTCGGTTACATTAGTTGAAGAGATATCCGAGCGGTTTTCTCGGTTATTTATGCTATCTAAGGTTTTTATGTAAACAAGTATATATTTGTTCAAAAATGTCGAATGTGCGCATTATGTAAATACTTTATGCATAATTACGTTTATATAACTTAAAATAACTATAATACCTAAAAATTATAAAATATACGCTTCTTTTATTTTGGTTAGCTGAATGGTTAGGTGCTTGTCTGAAGTTAGTTATGATATGATATCTGCAATTTATGCGAGCTCCTCTTCTTCTCCTATTTTGTAGAGCAGAGTAGTAAAATTCTTGTGTGAAGCCAATTAAAATCTAGCCGTGGCTGATCCAGTTTCCATTCGAGAATAGTACTTGAATTCTTCGAACAGTGTGGTAGGTCTGAGTTTCGGGCTTATAAAAAGATACTTAAGCTTCTGTAGTCCCTTAGCCTAATAGCTTAACAAATCGGCTTATCTTTTTTATGATCGTGTGAAGTTTAATCAACACATTTTTAGGAATTATTGGGATTGTATGGTACAATAGTTGATCTGACTATTAGTAATATAAGAAATATGTTTAACTGTGGCTTTGTGGCCTCTTTTAAGTTGGATCGTACTACAAGCAATATTTTCAAGATTGGTGCAATTACAAAAATTGGTTATAGACGTAAATTCACGCTTATATCTGAGAATCTTCATTCTCTGACACCACTTCTCTCAGCTAGAAAATTGAAAATCGTAATCCGAACTGTGCTTGATCATATATTATATATCTACATATAGCTATAACCTATTGCATATTAACAAGATTTGTCCTCTTGGAAATTCAGATCAGATAAGCGGATCTTGGGTGTTTTTAGCCCAACGACTTTTCACTCAATATAATTTTTTACATAACACTGTTCATACTACGTGATTAAAAGAAGAAAGCTTTTACATAAGTGCTTGGAAAAGCTATAAGTCATACTTGTTATATACAGATACCATATACACCATATAAATGATTAACGTGACGAGCTAAGTTGATTTAGGCATATCCGGCTGTCTGTCTGTTTTTCTGTATATACGCGTACTAGTATATCAGTTTTTGAAGATATCGAACCACTATAGAATATAGCTGCTATGCAAACTGATTGATCAAAATCCAATCCTGGTAGATCTTTTTACACCACTTTATAGTAGAAGAAATGCACCAGTGAAGGGCATGATAATTTCCGTGCAGCCGAAGTAAACGTTTTGTCTTGTTTTCATATTTATTATATATAATTTCACATTGTCAGAGTCAGTTGGAAGTAAACTTTCGTTGTTGATTTACGTGAGTACCTGCCGGCGACGGCCTTACCTCACGGTGCTCCAAAACACAACGTATTAATACAATGCGTTGATAAGCGCCCCAAATAATACGAGCTATTTGCAAGTATTAATTTGGTTACCAGTGGCAGTGTATCTGGGCCCATACTACCATCTTGGTAAGATTCGAGGCCGACCTAAAACCTCTTCCGTTTTCGGGTACGGAACCCAGTTGCTTTTTGCAACTTCTTTTTAGAACTGAAAAAACAGTTAGGCTGAATTTTCAATTCTTCCTGCATTTAGGTTTCTACCACAGCCACCACGAATCTCCCCAAAGGGGTCATAACCCAATGAGCAGATTGGACCGAAGTCCAAGGGCTTTCTGCTCCCCGTGGTACCAGAAAGTCTCCGGTAAGACTGTGTAGCCGAAACTACTGCCAGTTGAGCAACCCATTACTCAATGACTGGTGACATTTGTCGCTTGAACTTCAAATGTCTTTTTATTTGGGATTTCATTTAAAGTCTATAATATCAGTTCAAGCTGAGTATTATAGCACTATTTCTGACATCATTTACTATGCTGATAATTCTGGGCAAAATAAATTAACAGTCATAGTGCATTTGGCTTTTAGTCGCCTTTTACGACAGGCATGCCTTACCGCGGGTAAATTCTTACCCCTACCCGCAGGGAGAAGTTGGAAGTAAACTAATATTTTAACAGAAATAACACATTTTTACTTTCAGCTAAATAATAAAGTTTATTTCCACTTTCAGCATAATGCAGCCTTAAGCCGCTGTAAGCCTTTTCTCAGCAATCAAAGTCATCAAAGGCTAAAATTGAAACTATAACAAAAAAATGTTCCAGATAATTTAGATCAAGTCTACAACATATGCAAACAATTAACGCGCTTTAAGACGCAAGTAAAGTCTGAGAGTGAAGCGCAAATTGCAATTTCAATATGTAGATATGTATGATTTCAAGTTTGTCGGCATACCAGCTTGCACGCTCTCACACTCAAGAATGTAATAAATATCTGCACATTACTCCAGCCCATCGAAATACGTTAGATCATCGATAATGAGGAGCGTTGATGTAATTGTAATTAAAGCATATTGTCACTCTGTCACATTTCGGTTGAAATTAACAACAAGTAAATGCGCTTGGACAGCATATTTAGAGTGCGGTAGCTTTGTATTAAGTTACAAACATACATACAACGCAAATACAAGCATTGGTACAGCTATGTAACGCCTTAACTAGATACTCACCAAATTAGATGTAAATGAAACACTTGATCCATCATAATCACCGTCAACGAGGCGCCTCGATACATCGTACCACAGAATATGCCGACGCCAAGCAGGCACATGAGCGTCGCTATTAATGTGGCATATGGTATGCGGGACATACATGATTGACAGCAGTCACCTGTAATGAAGGTAAGAAATGTGTTGAAAATGTGTTACAAATTTACAAGGACTGTACGCTTTTAGGTTTATATAGACAACTACATATACATACATATATGGAATATTTAAGTTAGCATATGAAGGAATATATGCTGCATATCTACTATTGTGACGGCATTTGAGTCAGCACAATTTTAGCTATAATATAGTGCAGTATGAATGGGTAAAATTGTGCGGGTATTCAGTGTTCCATACAAATTGTATTAAATCGCACCACAGCATGTAGAGGCAGCCAGGAGTCAAAGCATTTGAATAGCTTGCAAGTTGATTGCCGGTGATTGGGTTGCCAATACTATTAAATTGGCACAAAACGGTAGCATAGCCTCAAATATGTGTACATATTTATGAATAAATGTAGTTTGGTGCGGTTCAGAATTGTATGGAATTTATATACAAGGAATTTTAAGCATCAACGTTAGACTGGGCAATATATGAAAGTAAGCAGCTATTTTTGTTTAATAATTTACTAACTTTAACGATTTAAATTATTAATGTTGGTATAAAAAACTTGTTCAAAACTGCTATAAAGCTTCTAAATAATAGCTATTAAATATTTCTTAAAAATAATATTTGTGAGAAGAATATTGGAAATAAGTAATTTTATAGAATCTGCGTTGCCAAGTGGGGTGTTAGAAAAGAACATTTTTGCATTACTTTTTGATTTTAATTTAGGTAAGCATTATAATTAAATACGCGAGCATTACTTGAAAAGATACATATAAGATTCAAAAATGTTAAAAATAATCCATATTGAGGCTCGACCCTGATTTGGCTTGCCATAGTATGGTCATATATTTCTATGATCCTGATTAGGCTTGCAATAGTATACTCATATAGATTTTTTATCTAAAAAGGTCGCATTTGTTTTGCACTTTATAATTTTTAATATCTTTAGTTTTCGTAACACCCCATTGTACTTAAAATATGTACGTATACATCTGCTAAGCTTGCTTCCACAGTATGTGTATGTTATGATATTTTACTAGAAGGTACCGTCGACTGCGTTTAACGCTATAACGAACAAATTTCAAATACATAGTGCAAAGATAATGTGCATACCACAAATAAATATATAAATACAATACATATTTGTACAACTAAATATACAATAATTTCTGTCAGAGTGTTATTGGTTGTGAAGGAAGAGCAATGGAGCGCAGGCATACATTAGGATAGCTGAAGTGTTGTTTTCTTTTTAATACCATTAATTTAATCTCATCAATTACCTAAATTTCCATTGATTTGCTTAAATTATTCAAATAATTTGTGAAATAAATAGCAATTAAAAGACTATTCATGTAGCTATGTTAATATTAAAGTGCTGGAAAATCGCGAGCTTTAAACTTTAATAAAAACAAGAAAAATCGGTTGCACTAACGCGTTTTTTCTATCTACGAAGTTTTCTTCTGGATGACAAACTTAAAATACCCTGTTCAGGCTATAAGAATGGGAAAAATAAATATACATATATTTGTAATAAAGCTTTCTTAAACTTTTTCAATAAAATATCGCAGAAATAAACATCTAAATATAATGATAATATAATATTTCGTAGCTATTCCAAAAGTAAAACAAAGTACTTGTATGTAGGTAATCCACAATCTTCTATTCCCAAAAAAAAAAAAAACAGTATATGCTAACATGTTTTCCTAAGCATTTCAGTGTGCATGTATCAAAATATGAATCCAATTTGCTTTCATCAAAAATAACGGAAAACACACTTATTATGTATGTATATTCATTCATACCTCCCAAATATGTATGGGTATATATGAGCATACACTATGTAGTTGCAAAAGCAACCCGCACTATTAGTACAAAAGGTGACGTACATTTTTCATCTTGAAACCTCAAGCCGTTTTTTGTATGCAATATGAACCAAAGACACATTGTAACACATTTTCAACGCATACATATGTATGTACAAGCATATATTTTTTTTCAATGCAGTTCATTGATTTGCATACATTTTATTTCATATAAATTTTTTTCTACATATCTCTTCAATGTAAGCGTTAAAAAATCAAAACATATCTGCAGGAGCAGGAGCGAAGTGTTATGTATGTGTAAAGGGCTACAACAAAGTGCACTGAAACATGAATTTTTTTATTTTTTGTCGCACTTTTATACCTTGAACAGGGAATATTAAATTTGCCAAGAAGTTTTTAAAACTCAAAAGAAAACGTCGGAGACCTTGAAAAGCATATAGATATAGATAAATGATCAGCATGACGAGCTGAGTTGATTCAGCCATGTCCGCCTGTCTGTCTGTAGATATACGAGCTAGTTCTCTCAGTTTTTGAGATACATTATTAAAAATATTAAAAAATAAATAAAAACAATTTAATATTTTTATATTTTCAATCAAAAAGTATATAATAATATTAATTTTGAAGAAAGATCGCAAATAGCTGCCTACCTTTTTAAAATTAAATAACAGTCATTGGTTTCATTGACCTTGCCAAATGTGATCAAGGGGTCAGTGACCTCATAAAATGTAAACAAAGGTTGTTGACTTGGCTAAATATAAAAAAGGATTGTGGACTTGGATAAATGTAAACAAAGGTTGTGGACTTTGCTAAATGTAAATAAATAGAGCCAGCTGGCAGCTAGCTTCACGTGAGGTCACTTCGTGGCTTTTAAATCACATCATATCGAGGCACGAAAGTCACCTAAGCAATAGTCAGGCCTAGTGCCTGATTTACTTATATAGAGCCAGTTGGCAGCCAACTTCCCGTGAAGTCACCTCATGACTTAAAAATCACATCGCATCGAGGCACGAGAGCCACCTAAGCACTGGCCAGGCACGGCGGCTGCTTTACTTATATAGAGCTAGCTGGCAGCCAACTTCTCAGGATGTCACCTCATGACTTTTAAATCACATCGCATCGAAGCACGATAGTCACCTAAGCACTGGCCAGGCACGGCGCCTGCATTACTTATATAGAGCCATCTGGCAGCCAGCTTTATGACAGGTCGCCTCATCACTTTTAAATCACATCGCATCGGGTCACGACAGTCACCTAAGCGCGGGTCAGGTACGGTCCCTGCCTTACTTATATAGAGCCAGCTGGCAGTCAGCTTCCCGTGAGGTCATCTCGTGACTTTTAAATCATATGATGGCATGAGAGTGACCTAAACACTGGCCAGGCACGGCGCCTGCTTTACTTATATAGAGCCAGCGGGCAGCCAACTTCCCGTGAGTTAAATCACGAGCCAGCTATAACATATTGTTCAGTTCCGATCCAATTCCTTTTGGCACAGATTATTGTCAAAGGCAAAGCTACAATCTCCGAACATATTGAATAGTTCGGATCGCTATTGTATATAGCTGCAATACAAACTGACCGTTCATTTTATGTTATAAGAAATATACCTATGAAGGGTATTACTTCTCACAAATTTTTTTTCTTGTTTTGTTGCGCAAAGCAAAATGAAATTGTATTATAAATATAAGATGTGTAGCGCAACGTTTTCCTAACGACATACTCGGAGTCAAAGGACTTTTGTACGAATTTTAATGGGTTGTTATGTAGTTTGTTCAATTTTTTACCCAAACTATAATATATATATGTACTAACATACGCACTACCATATCTACGTATAGTCAAATGATTTTTGCCTTCGTAAGCGTTTTCATACATTGATAGAAGCATATACATTAATGTATGGATGCGAATCCTTCTTTTATGCCAAGCCAATTCTGATACATATGCTCTCTTCTTTAAACTTTTGCATGCATTGAGATTTGTCAGACAAGATTGATTGCTCACTGAATGGGTTGAACTGCAGCCTGATGGCATACATCCATTATCGGTGTGCGTAAGGCAAAGGCAAACGTGTGCTCACGAAAATGACTATATACACTCACATATGTGTATATGTATGTATGTATATGAAAAGCAGAAATATGCATGTATGTTTATGTGTTAGCGAAATTGGCTTAAATTTCAGAAAATGGCAACATTTGAATATGCCACAATAAGTATTGTGTTCTCAAAGCAAGCCATCTGTTGTTCGAGATTACATTGTACATATCGCTTTGATGTTGGGCTCCTTTGACTCAATTGTGGTGCAAATTAAAAAGAGAAAGTGAAAAATACTGAAAATACGAGGTTTGCTAATGTGGATACTGCGCCTTTGGTATGCTCTCGGGACATATTGTATGTATATATATGTCAATCAAAAAATGTATATTTTTTTGTGTAAATGACAGGATTATTATACCTACTTAATCATTGTAATGTAACATGTTTGGATGAAATTATGAGTGTTAGGTGAAAATAAACTCTGGGTATGATGGATTGAAGGCAGTGTGGTGTTTGGATATAAGTTTAAGCGAACTTACTTTAGTATGAATATGTAAAATTCATAAATTTTGGATTATTTATATCGTATTAGACGCTTAAAGTTTTTATTTGCTGTCATTATTTTATAGCATGTAATAACTTGGAGGGCGGTCCGACACTTACATTTCCTACAAAAACAAAAAGTTAACTTTGGCTGCACCGAAGCTATAATATCCTTCACAGTTACATTACTCATAGCATAAAATGGTATACAAAAATTATTATATTGATTTTGAACGAATAGTTTATATGGCAGCTATATGATATAGTGTTATAAAAATATATTCGGATATTAAAGCCTTGCTTTGATCAATATTCTATGATAAATTTCGTGAAAATATTTTGTTATATAAAAAAGTTTTATATACAAAAATGTGATTTCTATCAGTCAGTTTGTATGGCAGCGATATGCTATAGTGGTCCGATATCGGCGATTCCACCAGCTTCTTGAAGAGAAAAGCACGTGTGCAAAATTTCAGATCAATATCTCAAAAACTGCGGGACTAGTTCGCGTATATATAGATAGAGGAGGAGACAAGCAAACATGGCTAAATCGACTCAGCATGTCACTTTGATTATTACGTACATACAAGTATGTACATTATAGGGT